AGAACATTAAACTGGCCATACACTGCTCACATTTTCGGTCCTGTGCCACCACCTGGCTCAAACAAAAGTAGATTATTCAATCGATTTTTGTCGAATGAGAGGCATGGTTAATTGTTGGCTGCAGCTCATTAGCTACAGTCACTGTTATTGTATTCTGAAAGCAGCAGGCACTGGCAGGGGAGATTACTCCCGTCCATGCTAAACAGCGTTAGATTTTTTTTTTTGTAAACAAATCTATAAGTGTATGACCAGCATTATCATCCAACAACGATTAACACACAACAGCAATGCGAGCATTTACAGATGTTAAAGTATATCTCCAACATTCTCCATATTTATACTTATAATAAGAGACAAGACAGCAAGAAAATCAACTACTTAAGAATCTTCTTACATTTTGTCTGCAAAGTTTTTTGTTTTTTTTGGGGCATCCATTGTGTACAATTGGATATGATTACATTCCCCCCGGCAGAGATGTTGTCTATTTGCAACGGTCTTCAGTTAACTATGCATTGCCTACACAGGCAAAGCATCAACTATTCCTTCGTGGCAACATTTCAGCATTTCCCATTAAGCAGAAAGAATTCAAGACCCAGTACAGGCACATGGAAGACAAAAAAGACATTTGAAGTAGCACTACAGACATTGTGGAACAATTCATCCTCAAAGTTCACAGCAGAAGCAGTGTAGTCCTTCTCTCATCAGCTGACCTCACCCTTTTCCCAGCAGGGATATGCCAGCTTTTCAATCTTCTAATCTTCAATTTAAAACACAGACAGGTGCTATGGGAAGGGGAGATGAGCAGTTGGAGGAATTGACTGACTTCAGCACTTCCCGTGTAAAATTTGAGGATTAATTGCTCCATGGTGCCTGCATATGCAGAGGTCAATGAGGGCTTAAAGCTTATTTACTGAATAAAAATATGTAAATACTCAAATGTCTGTAGCCTGGTCACACGTTCACTTTAAATGGTCTTTCTATTCTCAAAAGAGAATATATGTAAAAAAAAAATATTTACCCATTTACTGGCCAATGAACTACAATAGAAGGAAATTCTTGAGACTGCCAAGTAGCAGAGAGCATATCCACTGTCATTTCTATCAAAGTATTGTGAAGATCGTTCTTTATAAAAATACAAAATCGGTACAACAAAATAGAAATTCTAATACAAGTTTTCTTTTATCCTATAAAATGGAAAAAAAAACCAAAAACAATGATTAATAATAAAGTAACATGGCACCGGATAACGGAGTTTATTTGGCATGTATAATAATGGATTTGTTGCTTAACTCTTGATATTATAATGTTCCACCAGTCTCTTGTGACGAGCCCCTATTCGCGAACACTCCTAGTCATTTATGAGCCGACTTATATTCAAATGTCAGATCTGAACTCCTTGAATTACATTTATGTTATGTGACAATTTCGGTCAAAGCTTTCTATTCTATTCTAGCTTTCTACCTTTCTATTATATATATATCTAAGAAAAACACAAGAAACCAAGACCATGATTCTTCAAGGTGTAGTGGTGCTTAAAATCTTTGTCATGGGGAGAAAAACAAAATAGCTACAGGTATGACGTCCAGATACTCAAGGTGTCCACGCATACCTGCAGAAGCCTTCCAAACATTCTTGGTTGGAGCTTGCTGCTAAGCTCAGTCACCAAGCATTCCAACTGACTCCTCACTATCATTGGACAATGCAGGAGACAGGAAAGGGCAGGCAAGCTTTTGCACACATAGGAGGTGTGGAAGCTTTGCCTGTTAGCATGACCCTGCAAAAGGCCATGACAGGAGAGATTGGTAGGATGTCACAGTTTTCTTCCTTCTATGACAGAGATCTTTCCTTCCAAAGCAAAGTCTTTTTAAAACATTGTAAACTTTGGTGTGTTGCAATACAGGAAATGCAGCAGGTATGATCTTAGGGCTGTTGCGGTGTGTTAGGCAGCCCTTGCCAATTAATGGGTTGCCCTAAACTGAAGTGTAATACGCTTATGTTTGCCTTTCCCGCTTCCTCCTCTCTTCCCTAATTAACATGCCAATTACATCTTTAAAATCAAGCCTTACCTATTCTATTACCTACATTATTTAACCCTGTAATGTCACCACAGAGTCTCTATGCTATGCACACAGATGATGGCTAGGGGGAGGGGCCAGCAAGGGTGCTGTACATTTCCTGAAAACACAGCACTCTGCCTTAGTTTTTCTCTCAAAAGCCTGCAGCCCTGATTCAAGCAGTGGGCTGAATCTTGGGAGGAGTTTTGCAAATATAAAAATGCCTTGATGAGTAGATGTCAGTCTAGAGGAGAGGGCAATCCTATGTAGACTGCATATGCATACAGACTGCCCTAACTAAGCAACCCCCCC